GGACAGAGCTGGGCTCTGGCAGTGAGGTTTACAGAGATTTGGTTGATAAGAAATGCCGTTACTAGATTTCTTTATGTCTCATCTCTATAGAAAGATTCGAAGCAGCTTTGCCAATAATCAGGGTAGGAGAATAGAACCTCAATACCAAAGATTTAAACAAAACAAAACAAAACAGATGCAGTAGCTATGAGGGGAAATATGCTCTCTGAGCTTCCTGGTAGACAGGGCAAAAAAGGAAACGGTCCATTACCTAGTTCTTTCTTTTTTTTTAAAGATTTTATTTATTTATTTATTTGAGAGAGAGAGAGAGAAACAGCATGAGAGGGGATAGGGTCAGAGGGAGAAGCAGGCTCCCCGCTGAGCCGGGAGCCCGATGTGGGACTCGATCCCAGGACTCCGGGATCATGACCTGAGCCGAAGGCAGTCGCTTAACCAACTGAGCCACCCAGGCACCCCTACCTAGTTCTTTCTTATAAAGGAGCAAAAAAACTCTGGTTCTTTTAGGGAGTCAGATTTTCCTGACCCTAAGCCTCGCTGAAGCTTCTCAGATGCTCCTGTGTAGGGTATCGGTTCCTGGCTTTTCTTCTGCCGCTGTTCATATGCTTGATAGGCCCCTGCGGGGAAGACCTCAGCTGCAGCATCCATGAACCATTGCTGGCTCCCTCTGATTCAGGGGCCCCAAGGGGGGAGGCTGAGGTGGAGGGTGCTAAGAGTTGAGATGGTTAAGCCCGGAACAGTGCAGAAGTTACGAGTTGGACGAAAAAGATCCACCCCAGGGCCTAAGCTGATCCAAGGAGCGTGCTAGAGATCTAGGACAGTGGTCCTGTCCGTGGATCGCCCCACACGAACTAATGTGCAGGGCTCTAAACAACCCAGCCCACTGACTCCTGGGGGTAGGCCCCCGGGGGTCTGCATTTCAGGAAACCTCCCAGGTGACTCTGATGTTTTGCTGGGTGCAGAAGCATTGCTTCCAAGGACGTTTCTCAAATAATCCTTCTTTTAGCTTGGTTCTGCGTAGGAGCAGATGGTTTGAGGCTGTGCTGATGTTCTCTGCCATCGGCCGGAGGGAGAAATCTGTGAGCTGAGGAAGGTGTGTGCAAGGTAACGTGTCTGGATCTAAGGGGTTAAGGAGAGTTCACTGAGAAGGGGTTAGAATCACCTAATTCTGCATGCATCACTTTTTAGATTCTGAAAGGAATACATGTACCTTATAAAAATTCAAATAAATATAGAAATGCATATGGTTAAAAAAAAAAAAAGAAGTTCCCTCCCCATCTCATTCCACATACTCCTCAGAGGGAAGCGCTTTGGCAGTTTGTGGTGTGTTCTTCCAAATCTATAAAGAGCTCTTCCCTGGCCGGCTAAGGAGACCGTATGTTTGAGTGGATAGGCGCACTGGATTCCCAAGCAGACTGGGGTTCCAATCCTGGCTCCTCTTCTTCACTCCCCCTCGATTTCTTTCAGCAAGTACTTATTTGGCTCTCCCTGGGTGCCAAGCAGCGTTTGAAGTGCTGCGAGTGCAATATCCTGGCCCTCCGGGACCCTGGGGTCCTCGCAGTGGGGACGGCAGAGCACAGGAAGCGCAGGAATGCAGATCACAAAAATGATGATGGCCCTAGCCAGCAAAGACAGCGGCCGTGCGGTGCCGTGCGCGTCTTTGCTGGTGTAGACGGGGTGCTCAGGGAGGCGTCTCCGTGGAGCAGCACTTGAATTACGGGCCCGCAGGGTGAGGAAGCGCGGGGCGGCTGGGGTGCCGGCTGGAGAGTGCGAGGAAGGACGAGGCGGGAAGGAGCTGGGGGTGCCGGAGGACACAAGGAGGTCACCGGGGTGGAGCGGGCCGGGGGGAAGGCAACAGAGGCGAGGGGGGTCAGAGAAGCGAGCGGTTCGTGGGTCTGATAGAAGGTGCCCTGCAAAGCGGGCGGCGCGCGGCAGGTGGGCGCGGCGGGGCTGCCCTGCACGTGGCGCGAAGGCGCGGCAGGGGGCGCTAGAGAGCCGGGCGGGCGGCGCCGCGCGGCGAGGACGGGAGGTGGCCGGGCGCTGGGGCCGGGCTCAGAGCGCAGCTTGTGTGAGCCTCGGCTTCTCGAGCTCAAAGCGGGAACCGCCGCCGACCTCGCTGGGTTGCCGCGAGGAATAAAGGCGCGGCGCACCCAAGGTCCTCGGCACACAGCCCTGCCCCGGCTGGGAAGTGGGGACCATGATCGCCGTTGGCCTCGTGGTCTGTTCTTCAGTTAAATAAAACCTGGAGACGGGGCGTTTTATTTATTTATTTTTTTAAGATTATTATTACTGTTTTTTAATTAGAGAGAGAATGAGAGCGAGGGAGAGCACAAGGAGGGGAGGGTCAGAGGGAGAGGCAGACTCCCTGCTGAGCAGGGAGCCCGATGCCCGACTCCATCCTGGGATTCCAGTCCTGAGCCGATCGATGGCAGTCACTTAACCAACTGAGCCACCCAGACGCGCAAACGGGGCGTTGTAATTGTTTCTAAACGTACACCTCTAAATAAAAGGTGGGAAAATGTGCACCGGGTCCCGGGTCCCAGAATCCTGGCTGGCCCAACACTGAGAAGCCAGAGCGGAGAAAGTTCTCACCCAGCAGCAGGGGCTATGGGGGGAACTTCTTCCCTTGTGGGGGCTCCCAGGACTGAGCCCCCAACCCCGCGCACCACTCCCTTAACCTCTCCCGCTTCATCTCCACCTGGGCCTTGCTCAGCTTCTCCTAGATTTGGGGAGCCACGGGGCACCCTCTTTGGAAAGTCAGCACTGAGCCTTCTGTTCATTAGCTCAGTCACCTCTTCGAGAGGCTTTCCAGGTGCTGACTTTGCAGCCAGAGAATGTGAGTGGCAGTCCAGACCCCAGGGGGCCGGGGGCAAGGGCCAGGGAGGCTCATCCCAAACCTGAAAGTGCTCTGCGAGGGGGTAGGCGGAGGCTGAGGGGGCTCAGCACCCACGTCTTCTGCACACTCAGCCAACACGCCAGGCCCCAGCTCTGCCCCAGGGGAGTTGCTGACCACCCTCCCAGAGATGGGGACAGATGTGCTCGGCTGTCCTGACCCCAGCCTTCCTCCTTGCCCGCATTCACAGGCCCTGGGGGGCTAGCCCCACTCTCTCGGCTGCGGCTGGCTGCGCTGCTAGTGATAAGAATCCAGATTGCTAGCATATGCGGAGCATCTAGTGCGTCCCAGGCCCTGTGCTAAGCGCTTTTCACCCATCCTCTCATTTAACCTCGGCACTAACTCTGAGCTGGGCCTTAAAGCCCCTCTCCAGATAAGGGCGAGGTGAGCTCAGATCTCAGAGCGGCTCTCATTCTGCTGCTCGGCTTCCCTGCCCTGACACCCTTCCTGGGGATCCCCCAGCTTTCAGCGCCCTTCCTTCCCTCTCTTCTCTGGGGCGTCCCCCCTGCCCCGAAGCACTTCCTTCTTCTGACTCACCCCATGATTGGAGGCCTTTCCCCCTCTCTCCCTGGCAGTCTGAGCCTGGCGCTTGGGCTCAGTCCCGGGCCCGTTGGACCGGTCGTGCTGGGGATCTTTATTCTGCTTCCTTCATCAGCAGGGACTGTCCTGGCTTCTTCCTTCCCACCGTGTCTCATGGGGCACGCTTCATTGCAGGGCCACACCTGAGGCAAGTTGCCTTGCCTGCAACTCTTCATGGGTCTTGGAGCCTGCAGCCAGGGTCTGAAACTTTGTTGTTCAGGTGCCCCATCTGTAAAATGTTGTCGAGCACGTCCCCCAATATATAGTCACCCATTTACTAATTCTAGACATGTTGCCAGCCTCCAATTATTCTCACCTCCCAGCATTCACACCCTTGAGCCATGCCTTCTGCACTGCACGGGGCTGACCCGGGTCACCACAAGGATACTGTGGAAATGATGGAGAGTTAACTCTGAGGGGAAGAAATTGTGGCTCTTGTCTTGGGCTCCCTGAATCCCTGGCTCTGGGGGCAGCCAGCTGCCCTGTTGTCAGGACACCCAGCAGCCCTGCGGGGTGGCCCACGTGGTGAGGAGCTGTGGGGAGTCACCTTGCAGGGGGTTCTGCAGCCTTGGTCCAAGTCTTCAAAGGAAAGTAGGCGTGATGGCATCTGGCCTCCAACCTCATGAGAGACCCGCCCCAGAGCCAAGGGGCTCAGCTCTATCCAGATTCCTGGCCCTCAGGAGCAGAGCGAGATGTTTTAAGTTGCTAGCTTGTGAAGGGACCACCTTGTTGCAACAAGTCACTAACAGGAGTATAAGTCTGAAGACTAAGGATACAAATGTATATAAGTGGCTTGCTAATATTTTCTTGCCACACTCCCAGTGGATGATCTTGTGACCCCCTGGGGTTCACGTTCCCCACATTGGAGACGCTGAGCTTCCGAATAACATTCCCAGATCAGCCACCTGAGATCCAAGGCTCTCTGGGTGGCCTCCACTCCCTCTCAGGTCGTATCTCTTGGACTGCTCTCTCCTCTACCTGGGGTCACTTGCTCATTACTGCTGATGAAATCCTACCTGCTTTTATAGGCTGACCTGATAGAGCTCCTTTCCAGAGCCTTTCTTGATTGTGCAGGAGGTGGGAGTGCCAGGTTCCCGGCCCAGCCTCCCTGGACTGCTCTCTGCATGAGCTCCACAACCCGCAGGGAAGTGTACTCAGAGGGGGTGGGGTCACTCTGTGAAGTTTGGTCGGCAGAGCTCTAAGGGTGGCCCCCAAGATCCCACGCTGTCATCCCTGGAACCTGGATAACGATGAGCTATCACTCTCATGATTGTGTTATGTTATAGGTAGTTGACCTTATATATGACCATATGATGGCCTTAAGAAAAGATTTTCCAAGTGGACCTAATCTAATCACACGGGCCCCTTTAAAAGCATAGAGGAGGGGCGCCTGGGTGGTTCAGTTGGTTAGGCGTCTGCCTTCGGCTCAGGTCATGGTCCCAGGGTCCTGGGATTGAGTCCCACATGGGCTCCCTGCTCAGCGGGAAGTCTGCTTCTCCCTCTGCCCCTCCCCCAGCTCATGCTTGTGCTCACTCTCTCTTTGAAATAAATAAATAAATAAAATCTTTATAAAAATAAAAAAAATAAAAGCGTAGAGGAAGTCAGATCTGAAGCAGAAGAAAGATTCCACGTGCTGCCGCTGACTTTGAAGATGGAGGGGTCACGTGACAAGGAGCGTGGGTGGCCCGCAGGGGAGGAGGGCAGCCCCTGGCCCACAGCCAGCAAGGAAGGGGGGACCTCAGTCCTACAGCTGCAAGGAACTGGGCTCTGTCAGCCACCTGAACATGTTAGAAGCATGTTCTTTTTCTCCTTCGCCTCCATTAACCAAAACAGTCCTGCCAGCACCTTGATCTCTCCAGAGCAGAGGACCCAGTTGGACTGTGTTTTAAGCCACTAAGTTTGTGATACTTAGTTACTCAGCAGTAGAGAATTAACACGTGAGGCTCTATGTCCCTGAAGACCTAGCATAATTTAAGATGTATATTCTCCTTTTTTAAAGTAGGCTCCACGCCCAACATGGGGCTCGAACTCACGACCCTGAGATCAAATTCGCAGGCTCTACCGACTGAGCCAGCCAGGTGCCCCCAAGATATGTATTATTAAAGGAATAAATGTAAGGGGTGGGTGAGTTCTCAGCATAAACACACCACCATTGTGGCGTCGTTTTCTCTCTGGCTACTTTTTCGTTTCTTCGGACTGTCTCTGGTATTTTGCAGGAGACTCACTTGTAAATTAGTGGCCCGGTCGGTCAGTGTATCATGTTTGTCTGGCTTTCTTCACGTTGTTTTATCACCTCAGACTCCCATTCTAAAGCTATTGGCTTTGGAGAGCATTTGTCAGCTCCGATCTGCATCCTGCTCCCTTATCAGTGGGTTTGGGGTTCGTGGTTACAGGTAAAAACCAGATTTCAGGAACATCGTATTCCAGTGTAACATGCAAACAGAGGAAGGCATAAATCCGAAGTGCACAGCTTTCTTCAGTTTCACAAATGGAACACGCCCATGCAACCGGGGTCCAGATCGAGAAGCTGAGTGTTTCCGTTACCCAGAAGCCCTCTTGTGCTACCTCCCAGTCACTGCTTCTTCTTCTTCTTTTTTTTTTTTTTTAAAGATTTTATTTATTTATTTGACAGAGACACAGCGAGAGAGGGAATACAAGCAGGAGGAATAGGAGAGGGAGAAGCAGGCTTCCCGCGGAGCAGGGAGCCCGATGCGGGGCTCCATCCCAGGACCCCGGGATCATGACCTGAGCTGAAGGCAGATGCTTAACGCCAGTCACTGCTTCTGCAAAACTAACTACTATTGTGCTCAAAGCAGCATAGGTTTGTTTGCCTGAATTAACCAGATTGCGAGTGATGATATCAGAGGATGCTAAACTCACAGCCCCACAGTCCCCAAGATGACTGGCCACAGTCCCAGTGCGTGCAAACAACAGGGGGCTTTTCAGGACACAGACAGATGAGGGTGCGCCCAGGCCTTTCATATTTCATGCAAGGACCACATTCCTAAGGTCTCATATAATGTGAAACTCTCATAATAAAGTCTAGTTCTGTCACTGAAATGACTGTAACATAAGGTTTGCACACCCTCTCATGTGGGGCCTAAAGCGAGACTAATTAACATCTTTACTATTGCCCAATTCCCAGTTTAGCATAATTCAAACCAACACACTCCTCCCTGAAACCCCCGTGGGGCTGTGAGGGTCTGCGCTTTAGCTTCTCGCAGAGCCCAGGGCCCCGCCGTGGTGATGGCATGGGATCCCGGTTCTGGGTGTGGCTTGGGGACAGAGCACAGTTCCTGGAGCCGGAAGGCTTACATTCTAGACCTCCCTCTGCTCCTCCTTGCACTTTATAACCCTGGGTAAGCTCTTACCTGCTGGGCCTGTTCCCTCATCTGCAAATGGGACTAAGCTCTGGGGTTCATGAGAGGAGTTCCCTGATGAGAAGCCTTGGGCACACAGTAGGAGCCGATGGGAGCTTGTTGGCACCAATCCCAGCTGGGGTGGGAAAAAACTGCTCACCTGTCTCTCCCCGCACCACCCCCATGCTGCCTGGAGGACTTTGCTCCCTGGGAGAGTGAAGCCAGCGAGCCCCAAGCCCGAGAGCCTGGAGAGCCTGGCCGCTGAGCCTCCACGGGAGGCTGGGGCCCAGGCTCAGATGCCAGGGTCAGAGCCCGGATTGGGCAAGAGCAGAGCGTGAGGCCCCCTCTTCCTGGTCAGGGATATTTGGAAACACCAACAATTCTGAGAAATTTAGCAGCAGGAAGTGAAAGGAGGCAGGGTGCATGCTCCCAGGGCGCCTTCTGGACTGGCTCCCCATCCCAAATCCTGCAGAGATTAGTGGGGTGACTGGCAGGGGCGTGAGGGGGAGAGGGACAGACCAGGCGACTCCCCCTCCCTGGGGAGGAAAGCAGGGGCGACCCATCCCCCACTCCCACTCCACACATCCCCTGAGTTCCAAATCCTTTTTCACCTCTGTTTACTGTCCAAAGTCCCGGGCACTGGGGATGCCAGGTTCCGAGTGTTGGGACACACGCGCACACACACACGCACACGCACAGGCAGACGCAGACACGCAGCGCTCAGGGCCCTCGTATGGACCCTGCTCCCTCCCCTCCCACCGTCCAGGGCTGTCCGTGCATCCCAAGCCTCCAGGCTTCAGCCCCCTTCTTAGCCTAGGATCTGCACAGCATTGAGGGATCCAGGAACCAACCTCAAGACCGTCAGCAAGTAAAAGGGGAGGAAGGGCAGGGGACCGGGACTGACGAGTGGAGCGGGGGGTGCTGGGCAGGAAAACTTCAGAGGAAGAAGTCTGGATGTCAGGCCTGGGAGCGAATGGGAGAAAGAATGTTTTCCTATAGCCACCAATCGCTTAGAAACGGACTGGACCCCACAGCCTGGCTCCGTTGGGCCCCAGCCTCAGCCCTAACCCCAGCCTTGTCCCAGGCCCAGGTCCAGCCAACCCTACCATGACAAATGACTATCAAGATCTTCAGCATCTGGACAACGAGGACAATGACCATCAGCTCCGACAAGGTAAGGGGACGCTTCCTTCCAGTTCTGAAAAGTGAGCGTGAGGTGGCTCTTGAACCCTTGCCTCAGCTCCCCCTTCCTCCTGTGACCCTGCCCCTGTCCCTGGGTCTGCCCCACTCACCAGGAGATGGTCTGAGCCGTCCCCTCTTGGGGGACGTGGAGGCTGTGGGGCTGGAGCCCCTTTCTCTGTGACTGGACTCCCAGGCCTCCGCAGGCCTCCTGAGCCTTGCCACGCACGATGCCCACTGCTCAGGAGCTTGGGGGGGGGGTGCGGATCCAGGGGCCCAGGAGTGACCGGGAAGTGTTAGGTCCCCCTTCTTCCCTCGAACACCTGGTGAGGCTTGGCCCCGTGTGTGAGTGTGTATGAGCGTGAGTGCCCCAGGTGCCCGGGGCCATTTGGTCAAGGGGTCAGACTTCGGTGAGGAGGCCAAGGGACCAAGTATCCAAGGAAGATGAGGCCCCTATCCAACAGAAACAAGCCCCCCTTCTTTCTCCTGCGAGCAGGGATGCTGTTTGGGCTGAGCAGGAGGGGCCTTGGGGATGGGTGTAGGGGGAGGGTTGCAGGTGGGGGCAACTCGGGGGGCTCTGGCTGCTCGGTCTTCTGTCCCTGCGCCCAGCCAGGGCAGTGGGGTTCATGGGGAGAGGAAGAAACCTCCTCCCCTTTCCTCCCCTTTCTGGGGTGGGCTGGGGGCAGCGACCCCGTCCTCCCACCCACTCCTCGGGCTGCGGCCGGCAAGCTCTAGGCTCGAAGAGACTCATCAGCGTCTGTGACACAGGCCGGACACTAGGTGTCAGCAGAGGCTCAGGGCCCGCGCGGGCTGGGGCGGGGCCAAGCTGGGGGCCCCCCTCCAGCTGCCCCTGGCCGCTCAGGGTCCCCAACCACCCGGACTTCTTAATCCCTATGGTTCCTCCTCGTCCAGGAGAGGAGCCTTAGCCCGCTGTCGTCCGGCGGCCCCAGAGCTGCCCGGCTGCCCCTGTGTCCCTGAGACCGCGATGCCCCCCCCTCTTGCTAGGGCCACCCGCCTCGCAGCCGCTGTTCCGGCGGCTCTGCTCCGGACCCTGCCTCCTGCGGCTCTCCCTGGGCCTCGGCCTCCTGCTGCTGGTGGTTGTCTGTGTCATCGGATCCCAGAGTGGGTGCCCTGGGAGTGGGCTGGGAGGGGAGCCGCGCCGGGGGCTGGGGCGGGGGGGGGGGTGGGCAGGGGTGGGAGAGGGCTGACTTCCGCGACGGCGGACGCGGCCCCCTCCTTCTGCCCACTGCACACCGTCTCCCCCTCCCCCGCCCAGACTCCAGGCTGCAGGCGGAGCTGCAGGCCCTGAGAGAGACCTTCAGCAACTTAACAGCGAGCGCCGAGGTCGAGGTCAAGGCCCTGAGCAGCCAGGGTGAGGGGGCCTGGGGCTGGGGCTGGGGGGCCGTGGAACGCTAGGGATGCGGGGGGGGGGGCCGCTGAGCAGGTGTCTCCCCCAGGAGGAAGTGTGGGCAGAAAGATGAAGTCGCTGGAGTCCCAGCTGGAGAAACAGAAGCAGGACCTGAGCGAAGGTCAGAGACCCCGCGGGTGTGCTGCGCGGGGCCCCTCGGGCCAAACCCAGGGGTGTGGCGGCGCGCGCGAGTGACCCCCGCCCCCGCCCCCCAGATCACGCGGGCCTGCTGTTGCACGTGAAGCAGTTCGTGTCGGACCTGCGAAGCCTGAGCTGTCAGATGGCCGTGCTCCACGGCAACGGTGAGGGGGAGGCGGGGGCGCGCGCGCGCGGCCGCCCCCCGCCCCGCCGGCCGCTCCTGAGCGCCCCCGCCCTCCCCGGCCCCCCAGGCTCGGCGAGGGCCTGCTGCCCGGTCAACTGGCTGGAGCACGGGGGCAGCTGCTACTGGTTCTCCCGCTCCGGGAAGTCCTGGGCCGAGGCGGACCGGTACTGCCAGCTGGAGGGCGCGCACCTGGTGGTGGTGGGCTCCTGGGAGGAGCAGGTGAGCGCCCGGGGGCTGGCGCGCAGGGGCGGGGCTGGCGGCTCCGGGGAGCGCTCACCACCCCTCCCCTGCCCCCAGAAGTTTGTCCAGCACCACATGGGTCCTGTGAACACCTGGATGGGCCTCACCGACCAGAGTGGGCTCTGGAAGTGGGTGGACGGGACGGACTACGAGACGAGCTTCAAGTGAGTGTGCGCGCCCCCGGGGCCCCGGGGCTCGGCCGGGGGGGGCCGGGGGGTGCCGGGGGGGGGCGGTGGGGCGCCCATCCGCTCGTCTCCGCAGGAACTGGAGGCCCGAGCAGCCGGACGACTGGTACGGCCACGGGCTCGGGGGAGGCGAGGACTGCGCGCATTTCACCGACGACGGCCGCTGGAACGACGACGTGTGCCAGAGACCCTACCGCTGGGTGTGCGAGACCGCGCGCGAGCCGGCCCGCTAGGAGCCTCCTCTCCCCTAATTTATTTCCTCCGTGCCTCCACCTGCCCCGTGACCCTCCCGTCGGGGGCGGGGGTGCTCCTCCACTGTCTCGGGATGGCTCATCCAGGGTTTTGAGGGAAGGGGAAAGACGCCGTCTGAGGAACGTACGATCGCGTTTGGCGGGGCGGGGAGATCGAAGTCCCTGTCACCTGCTGCAGCCTGCAGCGTATGGTCATCCTTTTTTAGAGTAAAAAGACCAGAAATACTCTAAATGGGCCATGCGTTGTCTGGTTATTGGGCATTAGGAATCGGGAGTGGGCTGGTTGGTGGGAAGCCTGGGGCAGGCCGCGGGGCCCGGTGAGAACCCCATGGGCTTTGGTGCTTACAGGGATGGGAGTTAGGGCTCCTGTTCTGAGTCTCCCCGGTAAAGGTGTCCCGTTGCTGGGGACCGCCGCACCTGCAGCAGTTCCCCTAGGACCAGAGTCACCCCGATGTGTCCAGTGCTTCAGAGGCTTTGAATGAAACTCACTGATGTCCGCTGCGTGCATTACAGTGGACAGAGGTAGTATCCACAGACAGGCAACAAATACAGTGAACATGAAGATGAGCCTACCACCGAGAACCGCTAAACCTGCAAAGAAAGCCAGAAAACCAGGAGCGAGGCAGAGAAGCCCCCAAATAAACGGAATCCACAACCCAGAATGGGAGTTCGCGGGAACGAACAGATTAAGACTTTGCAGACACTCACTAGATTATCAGCAAACATTGAATGAACACAAAAGTGGAGACAGAGACAGATCTATCAGCATATGAAGGGCTCACCATCTTTCCAGATAACTTTGACTATAAGAGAAAATAAAAGTGAAGCAGTCAGGTAATTGAGAAATGAACGAGCAGAGCACTACATACTGAGATTGTGGGATGGTCTAAAGCAGTTCTCGGGAGGAAAGGTATATAGACTGAAGTACATTTGTTAAAATACAAGGTTGGGGCGCCTGGGTGGCTCAGTTGGTTAAGTGACTGCCTTCGGCTCAGGTCATGATCCTGGAGTCCCGGGATCGAGTCCCGCATCGGGCTCCCTGCTCGGCAGGGAGCCTGCTTCTCCCTCTGACCTTCCCCCCTCTCATGTGCTCTCTCTCTCTCATTCTCTCTGTCTCAAATAAATAAATAAATCTAAAAAATAAAAATAAAAAAATAAAAAACAAGGTTGAATGGAAATAAGCTAAGTTTCAACTCAAGGGACTTGAAAAAGAACAAAACCCCTCAGAATAGAAAGCAGGGATTTATTAACAAATCATCAACCACAGTGTATGTATTCTATTCGAGTACACTGGGACATTTAAAAAAATGAGCAAATACTGGGCCATCAAGCGAGTTTTAACAAATTTTGAATAGAGATTTCCACTATAAGGACCAGAAAGATAAAATTCCTATATAAGTCATTAGCAAACCCAATCAAATGATGTATTAAAAAAATACGTTGGGGAGGCTAGGTGGCTCAGTTGGTTAAGCGTCTGACTCTTAATTTCAGCTCAGATCATGATCTTGGGGTCATGAGATCAAGCCCCACATCAGGCTCTTTGCTCAGTGGGGAGTCTGCTTGAGATTCTCTCCCCTTCCCTCCTGCCCCTCCCCCCCCATAAATAAATAGGAGCGCCTGGTTGGCTCAGTTAGTTAAGCGGCTGCCTTCGGCTCAGGTCACGATCCGGGGGTCCTGGGGTAGAGCCCCGCATCGGGCTCCCTGCTCAGCGTGGAGTCTGCTTCTCCCTCTCCCTCTGCTGTTCCCCCTGCTTGTGCTCTCTCTCTGTCAGATAAAAAAACAAAATCTTTTTTTTTTTTTTTAAAGATTTCATTTATTTATCTGACAGAGAGAGTGAGAGAGGGAACACAAGCAGGGGGAGTGGGTGCCCCACATAAACAAAATCTTAAAACAAAACATGTTTGGGGTGCCTGGGTGGCTCAGTTGGTTAAGCGACTGCCTTCAGCTCAGGTCATGATCCCGGAGTCCCGGGATCGAGTCCCGCATCGGGCTCCCTGCTCAGCCGAGAGTCTGCTCCTCCCTCTGACCCTCCCCCATCTTGTGCTCTCTCTCTCTCACTCTCTCTCTCAAATAAATAAAAACAAAAACACATGTTTGTCAAAGAAAGACAAATACCAAATGATTTCATTCATATGTAGAATTTAGAAATGGAACAAATGAGCAAAGGGAAAACAAAAAGAGACAAACCAAGAACCAGACTCTGAACTTCAGAGAAGAAACTGATGGTCACGCGGGGGTGGGGGTGGGGGTGGGCGGGGTGGGTGGGAATGGGTGAAACAGGTGTTGGGGATTAAGGAGGGCACTTGTGATGAGCCCAGGTGTTGTATGGAAGGGATGAATCACTAAATTCTACACCTGAGACTAATACTGCACTATATGTTAACTAGCTGGAATTTAAATAAAAACTTGGAAAAAGAAAGAATTAAGAGATGGTTTAAAATAAAAATCTATTAATAAAATAGACTTAGGGATTACAGAAGACCAATGGAGTACAAAAGAACAAAATTGCATAATGTGGAAAAAGCGCTTGGCAACCTTTTTTAGGACCTCAGTTACTTCTTTTTGTTGAGCTACAATCTCACTATATAGATTCTGTCAGTCTTCCAAGACGTCTGCCCCGCTCCAGCCACGACACCTTTCAGGCAAGAGAAAGGAGAAAAGAGTCAGAGAAAAGTACCTCTCTGTGAGGACACTTCTGGAAGCACTTCAGCTTGCATCTCTTCGATGAGAACTGGTCCCAAGGCAACAGCCCCAAATGGGGCTGAGAAGTGGACTCTATACTCCAGGGGGTCAGATTTCAGCTAAAAGCAAGGGGATTTTACTGATGTGGCACAGGAATCAGCAAATGGTGGCCCTCACATGTTTTTGTAAATTAAGGTAAACACCTTATTTATTTATTTGAGCGAGAGAGCGCGAGCGAGCACAAGCAGGGGGAGCAGGAGAGGGAGAAGCAGGCTCCCGGCAGAGCAGAGAGCCCGATGTGGGGCTGGACCCCAGGACCCTGGGATCATGACCTGAGCCAAAGGCAGATGCTTAACTACTGAGCCACCCAGGCGCCCCTGTAAATAAAGGTGTTTGTTTTGTTTTGTTTTTTTGGTGACTCCACTGGGACTCGAATGTAAATAAAGTTTTATTGGAACATGCCATGCTCATTTGTTTACATACTGCTTGTGATTGCTTTCAGGCTAGAGGTAGAATTGAGTAGTTAGGACAAAGTCAGCAAAGCCAAAAATATTTGCTGTCTGACTCTTTGCAGAAAACGTTTGCTGACTCCTGGTGTACCGTAAGGGGGAGACTGCGGATTGGGGTCAATTAGAAGTTTATTCCCCACTATTATTAGTGCTGTTGTTTTACAACCATCAGGGGATCCTGACCAAACTGCAGAAAGCAGGAAAAGGCATTGGAGGTGTAAGAATTGGAAAGGAAGAGATAACACAACACGATCATTTACCCGGAAAGTCAACACCATCAACAAACAATTAGACCTAACAAGAAGCTTTGGCAGGTGCATTGGTCAGCTATCAACACTTCAATCTACAAAGAATATACAAGACAAAAATAAAATTCTTTCCAAGGTAATATATAAATTCCATGCAATAACATACACATTTCAGTTGGATTTGTAAAAGCAACTTAATCTTTTTCAAAAATATAGAAAGTGGGGGTGTAGAGATTACTTAAAATAAAAATAAAAATATATATATATAGAGAGAGAAAGATAAAAATCAATTTGGGGAAAAAAGGAAGCAAAAATCAGGAGAAAGGGAAGCCAGACTTACCAGACATTAGAACATATTACAAAGGCATAGTCGTAAAAACGATATGGTAACAATACCAAAACAGACCAGTGGTATGGAAGATGGAGCTCAGAGACAGAATATGCACAAATTAGAACTTAATATACAGTAAATGGACACCTCAAATTGGTGGAGGAAGGATGCTGGGAAAGCTGGTTTTCCACATGAAGGGAAAAAAAATCCGTGTCTTGATGTAGGAAAGACGTTAATGTTCAAAGCCAACGCCCAAGAAAGAATTCTTGAGATTTCTTTGGTGCAAAAAGGTGGTTTTATTAAAGCATGGTGCCAGGACCCGTGGGCAGAAAAGAGCAGCCGGGGTCATGAGGAGTGGCCCATTATAAACTTTCAAGTTGGGAGGGGTTAGGGGTAGTGTTAGGTCTCTAAGGAATTTGGAAGCAAGGTTTCCAGGACCCTGAGGGGGCTGGCTATTGTTGGGAAAAGGTCATTTATGACCGACCTCTCATAAAACCTGAGTCACGAGCCCCTTCAGATGTCTATCGTGGGTCATATGCTTGGGGGGTGATTGCCAAGTTGTATCCTGGGGGGTAGAGATAAAGGAAGTTTCCAAAGGAATTTTTATATGTTAAAGTAGACTTAGAGGATCCTGGGGGTTGGGCTAAGATTGCCTTTTGCCCTTAGCAAAGTGTCAACATCGAGGCAGCTGAATCTCTAGAGGAAGGTCACTCTGCCTGTTTTAAGACTTGTCAATGGGCTGTAAATAGTAAGGAAATTTAATAATTTCTTCTTCTGCCTTTGTTTCCCCACTCATCATACCTAACATCACATACAAAGGTGGATGCTGGATAGATTCAAGATCTAAATAGAAAAGATAAAAGTACAGTACAGAAGTAATAGAAAAAAAGAAAAAAAAAGAAGGAAGGATAGTCTTGTTATCTAGGGGTACAGAAGGACTTCATAAATAAGACCTCTAAAGCAAATACCCAAAAGCCAAAAAAATTTTAGTGAAATTGACTGCATGAAAATGAAAAATTTCAGCTCAGTGATGGTGTTATCAGGTACCCAGCAAGAAACAGACAGCATACATGAAATGGCTAATTGGAAGATTTTTTTAAAAAAGATTTTATCCATGTATTTGCCAAAGAGAGAGAGCGAGAGAGCACAAGCAGGGGGAGCAGCAGGCGAGGGAGAAGCAGGCTCCCCGCAGAGCAAGCCCCCCCCCCCCCCCCCAGCCACACAGGACTCAATCCCAGGACCCTGGGATCATGACCGGAGCCGAAGGCAGACGCTCAAAGGACTGAGCCACCCAGGCGTCCTGGGGGATTTTTTTTTTTTTTTAAGATTTTATTTTTAAGTGATCTCTAATCTCTACACCCAACATGGGGTTCGAACCCACAAACCTGAGATCAAGAGTTGCACGCTCCACGACCGAGCCAGCCAGGCGCCCCTGGAGGATGTTTTAATAAACAATGATTTACGAAGGATGAGCAAGATTAGGGAAGCCACAAGAAATAGGACAGGGACCCAGGTATCCCACAGGGGGCAGTTGTTAGCACCTCCAGGAACCCAAGAAGAGAGAAAGCTGCATGGAGAGACCCCCCCTTTCCCCCAACAGGAGCTGCGTCTGTCAGTCCGTTGTGACTTTCGGTTCCCGGAGGCAGCTAGCTCCCAGCTGGTCGGCAGGGAAGGACCTGGAAGAGTCAATATCCTCACTTCCCCCCTCTTCCTCGCTCAGATTTCCTGCTGCCACCGGAAGCCAGGTGGCAAGGGAGAGATCTGATGCAGCCAAACAGCTCAGCCTCCGAGGCCAAAGAACGGCGGTGTGGAGAAGGGCAGACACCCAGCGGAGAAGGAGCCCGGAGGCCGAGGGCAAATTTCAGCAGTAGCAAAGGATATAAAGATGCCGTCCACAGGGAAGGAACTCCTGAGTCTAATGTAATGTCGTGTAACGTAAACCATCAATGAGCCCTCGCTTGACAGCCATCCGAGTGACAAAAAAGAGCCGAAGTCAAGTGCTGGCAAGGATGTGGGGAAGTGAGAACCTTAGGCACTGCTGCTGGGAGCATGCATCCGAAGAGCCATTCTGCAAGGTATTTAGCGGAATCAGGAATGCATATCTGCCTTGATCCCTGCAATTCTACTTCTGGGCAAACATACCAGATGTCCCTCCATTCCGGGACACCACGAAGATGATTATGGCAGTGCCATTGGGTCACAGGGACTGGAGGTGCCCTACGTGTCTGCCCAGAGTGTAATGTGGGGGGTGTGCCTGATGGAATATTGCCCAGCATCTGGAGATGGTGACCAATGGCGCAGCCAGTTGGCAAAGAGCATGGAGACTCCTCAGACATTTAACCCTAGAACTACCATGTGCTCCCACAATCCACTTCCGGGCATTTATCTGAAGGAATCTCAAGAAGCTCTCTGCACCCCCACGTTAACTGCAACGTTATTCACAATAGCCAAGACATGGAAACAACCTTAAGTGTCCATCGGCGGATGAGCTGATAAAGAGAATGTGGGATGCACACACCACAGGGAATATCATTCAGCCACAAAAGAAAGAAGGAACTCCTGCCATTTGCAACAACCTGGATGAACCCGGAGGGCATTGTATTAAGTGAAAGAAGCCAGACAGGGAAGGACAAATTTTAAAAAGTCAAACTAATAGGAGCAGAGGGTGGAATGGTGGTTGCCAGGGGCTGGGGGTGGGCTGGGGAATGGGGAGATGCCCGTCGAAGAGTACAAAGTTTCAGTTATAAGATGGATGGTTCTGGGTCCCTAATGTACAGCATGGTGATTATAGTTAATAATACTGTGCCATATGCTTGAAATTTGCTAAGAGAGCAGATCTCAAGTGTTCTTTTCACACACACACAAACGGTAACCATG